GTCATGATATTGCTGAACTGCCGTCTACGACTCCAAGTTATAAGAAGTTTTGGCGCTTTAAAGCGGATAGTGAGCACCAGGCGTGAGCGTACCAGAGTATAGTCGGAATCCAGACACGTGCTCCAAATTGACCAACAGTCTAGCACTGAAATGCGCCATATGTAGCTAATTTCCTTATGGTCAATTTGGCTCCAACTCGTCGAGGAACTCGGTGTGCGCCAAAGGACGCTATGTAAAAGTCTGTGTTGAAAGCAGACCGGTCGGCACATAATTGAATGAAATGATCGCCATTGTCTATTCGGCGTGCATCGATCTCGTAATAAATAAATAAATAAATAAAATTTTATTCTCGACAACGCGAGGCACACCTTGACAGGCATGATCATGTTTAGCTAACATAGTGTGATCAAAAATGTACAAAAAGCACATGTTTTGCATAACAGTGTATGTAACTGTACGGGTGTATATACGTATGTAATTGTCTATCAATGTAAGTTGTTTTTGAATGTGCCGCAGTATTTTTGACTGGTTGTTATCGTCAGGGAAGTGGGAATAAGCGATTGATGTCGTGGGTTGGATAGCAATTTCCAGATATCCACGGGCCAGTGACTTTAGTGTGTGGCGAGTCACATCCGCCACGTCGCAGTGTTGATAAGCAGACATTTGTTGTTCAGTCTGAACTGCGACTCACCAGCGACAGTATTTTTACCATGCGGAGAAGAAATTCGAGCTGATGATGAAAATCATCTTTCAAATCCTGGGAACTGCAATCCGTGGGGAACAAAAACGGAGGCGATAAAAGGGCTCTTAGTCTTCAAACGGTGCTCATATACCCAACTAGGTGTTCGAAGTCTAGGCGCACATGTGCGGCTATTCGCCGGCATCCACTCGGTAAGATTGCCGTTAGCATTTTTTGCTGAGGGCGATACTGACATCGTAAATAGGTTGGGCCGTTGACTCGATATCGCCAAAGACGCGAAGAATGTAGTTACTGTTAACAGATTCGGAGCCAGGGAGTCGAAGATTCGTCACTATGCTGTTCTGTTTCGGAGACACAACACAAATTAATAACAAGTGTGCGATTTACTGCTACTAGTTGGCCAATCTGACTCTGTGTGTGGACGGTAAAAGTGCCAATGTGGAGTGCGATTTTTGGTTTGATGGACGTGTTACATGTATCGATGGCAGCAGGTGCAATGTTAGTTGCAGTTTTGCTCAATGAAAGGGGAGAAAGAGGGTGAGAGGGAAAGGGAAGAACTGGGAGTATTGTCGATACGGTCTAGGAGGCAGATGATAACCTCTGGCTGCATTTTCCGCGAGACGGCTTTAGTTCGAAGTAGCCTATCTCTAGCCTTCGACCCAATTATCTGACCCACAAGGCAGTGGGGTACGACTCGAGATCAGGAGTTTGATTGCAGAGACCCATTTGGATCTTCTTGGAGCCTGTTACAGGCAGCCTCTGCAAATTTAGAATTATTCAAATGTGTTTTGCGACCTTAGTATTTTCCGCACCTTCATCCACGACCAGCCGCAGATGTGAGTTGGCAGGTTTACATCAATTTGACCAGTGGATGCCTGGCTTAGGCGGTAGCAAGCCATTGAGAATCGGATGGTATCCTCCCACCGTCAATGTGTGTGGCTCGTGCTCTACGCCAATAAAACGGTTTGTAATCCGCAAATCTGTTGTCTTCTATGGCTAGGTATTAATAGAAGACCATCGACCTCCCACTACCCTCCGAAGAGGATTGTGAAGTAGAGTTAGTCTGACTCGTAGCCGTTGATCTTTTTAACATGTGTGGCTCTAAAGGCACTTGGGAAGTGTCACACTGCGTAACTGAATGAGTCATGAACTTACACAACCATCGCAACACGTTACGATTCAGCCTGGTTGCTGGTAAGAGCTGCGGATGACGCGGAGCAGTAAAAGCCGTAAGGAAGCTGTTTTGGCAAAGGTGCTGCCTTGTCTTTGCACCATAGCAGCTGTTTGTAACTCTGAGCTGATAACAAGCTGTAGGCGCATTGATCTAGAATTTTCGTTCAGAGCCGACCCTTGGCCAGAAGTACAAGGCGTCTGCCTTGCAACCGTGTTCGAGCCTACGTATGGGGCCGGGCGACCCTACCAATATCCCTAAGCCACCCGCGACTGTTGATAGTTGCGTGGCAGCGAAGCGCCTACTGCGTACCCCCGTACTGCTGCTGCTGATTCCGCATGGAGCGTCAAGTTTTATACTAGATCTTTCTCTCCCTAAGTCCTTGGGCTCGCACCGCAGCGAATCAGACGGCTGATGTACTGTTATTGTTAGTGTTGTTGTAGGTGTTTTCTTTCTGCTGTCTCATCCACATGTGCTCGAGATCGGTTCTAGCTGATTCATCTAAATCTCTTTTGAGATTGCTTGTGGCACAATCCTTTTGTTATCGTGCTTAAAGTTTATCAACCTTGACACTGACGTCTGAATCCAGTGGCTCATTGCGCCATATCTCTGTGCTATGGCAGCAACCAATCGCGAATTAAGCATGCAACACTTTAAATGATTTGTAATATATTAAATGCAACCATTTTGCAGAGGTCTAGGCACTTCATGAGTGCCTCAGATTACATACCACAGGCATCATGAGTAACTCGGCATGTCATAGTGACGCTTCGTTGCTACGTGTCAACTGTTAGCCACGATGGGCTGGGTGTACTGCGAGGTCTCCTTCACCTACTCAAATTCGAACGAATAACCTTAGGGTTACAAAGCAGGCTCCTTATATTTTCGGACTTAACAGATTTATAACACCCCAACCACATCCGGCACGTGTCGTCGCACATTTTCGCAGGGATCGCCTTGTTTTCTGTTACACAGTGCCACTTGCTCTGATATATTTGTACTCGCGAACTGTCTGAGTATGCAACCACGTTATCTCGGAAGCTTGGTCTGTTGAGACGTTCGGGCCTGAATCCTTGTGTCCAGATAGAGATCAATATTCATTTTAACAATTGTTCCAAACCGGCACCTTTCAAGTACAGTGAACACCTCTGTGCCACTAGTCACTCTGCGACATCTGGTCGAAAACTGATCCGAGTAAATCACCACTGCAAGCTCCATATAACATGCTTTTTTCCCGAACACTTGCTCAACAGTTGGTCACGTCGGAAATTGTGATACTATTCCCTCCGTGGGCAGCCTAGTTGTCTCGGCTTACAGTTAGACAATCTTGGCAGATTTCCATGCGGGTTGAGCCTTTCCGTAAGTTCTCCGGGGAAGTTAAGTTTTGGAAGTGGCAGGGATTCTGCTGCCATGCATGATTCGAAACCTCTACTTGCGACAGCTCTTCTCGCCAGATGACCCGACACGGATTATTCATAGTGTTGGCGGACCTATGAGAATCCAGTGAAACTCACAGATAGCCAAATTCGGCGAGACGTGTTCTCGAGTTCAAGTTGATTAGGGGATCCACAAGATACTGCGAGCTCAGCAATTGGAGCAATGTGTAATGGGCTATCACTAGATATCCTTTTCACTGGTTTACGCTTGTTTCCTAAAAATCACCTACCAATGAACCAATCAGGAATAATTTTCGCGCTCTCTTCCTGGCAAATAACATTTTTGCTCCACTGCTTGGGGCTCTCACTGCAGCAGTTCTTCCGGTCTGCTACCCGGGAGACACCTCGTACTCAAGTGGCGCGGGTTGAACCATGGCCAGTTAACTTAGTCCTTGAGCCAGAAGTTCTGAAGCGTATTGACGACTCCCACGTAGTGCGACCTAACTTTTTACGCTGCTCCCGGCGACGATCATGTTGTTTTCTTTGTTAAAAATCAACTTTTACTAACTTGCGCATTGAAAATATCTGCCAGCTCACCGTTTACCAGTGAAAGCTGTGCTTTTGTTCACTTCATCTAAAGTTACTACTTGACGTGTAGTCTCTGGCAGTTAGATAGGGTCCTTTTGATCAACTTGGTTTCTCAGACTGCAATTCTCACTACTCACTTTGTGCTCGGTTCGCGGCTACAAGACTTAGCTGATTATCAGCACCAGTGGTGAGTTAGTGGTCTTCTCGTAGTCGGTCTATTAGTCTAATATATCTGCGACTGAGTTATCTGCGAAATTGGTTATCATGCGGGGTACCGAAAACCGCGAAGAAGTTGTTTTGCTAATTCGTAGACACATTGATGCTAAATATTCGGACAATTTTACTAATATATTAGCCATTTCCCTTTTTGTCTGACGTTATTTCGACCACCATGGTTGTCAGCTAGGCACTGCACGGGGTACTACTGTGTTGCTGTTGGTGCCGATGTACTAGGCTAACTGACGTATCGTTTGTCCCGCTAATGTGGCCTTTCCCTTTATAGATATAGATAGTGCGGTAGCACTATACCGACTGATCCACCTTCGTATTCCTAGATTACCACTTGGCTGCACTACTGCTTTCCCCAACTAGTGCTGTATTGACACACTGCACCATATTGATATGTAAGGCCCTGTTTGCAAGCGTGCTTCAACTGCAGCAGTCATTCCGATGCAGGAAGGGTTGTAATCGACCCTAAACATAGTTGCCCATGGATCGTTGTTCGCTGCATCTTGTTCGTCGTTTCTGAGCTCTATCAACCGCATTGCGCAGGCGGTTCCGCCTCATTACTGTCAGCCCTTTCTGTTCGCGCGAACCTCGTCACCACGCACGTTGCTATTCATATTTTCAATCTTCACCGCAACCGGTGTACTTGCTTTGATATGAGCCAGACCACTCTCTTCGTTTTATCGTTTATCGCCAGATCTCAGACTAATAAATACATACTCTTACTTAGAGCACAGTCTGTTAATACGTCCAGCAAATCAGATGCGTCCAGTAGCTACAATCGTGTGTCCAGCTATCACATTTAATAACCATATCTACTTAGTGCCTCTTTTACCCGAACCACCAATTTCTGGTGCTTCGTTCATGTATACTCTTCCACAAGCCTTCACTGTAGTTGTTTCCTCTTGCTGTTGCTACTCTTCTTTAACGAACGTTATACTGACAGCATGAAGCTTACTTCTGTAGCTCAGTACTGGCATTCGTACTGCAAGAAGATGGTATGCTTCTCTCTAATTTTCAAAATCTTCAGCTTCTTATACGGAACATTTTTCTCTTTATGGATCGCCAGTTACTTCTCGGGAGCACTCGGCATATGCAAATATGGTTAGTGACATTGCCACTTCTAATCTTCACGTTCATTTCACTTGCAGATGAATAATATTTGTTGCGTGAGCTCATGCGTCGTCTGTTATTCACATCTTGTTTCTGCTCTTTGATTGGGTTGCTCGCTTTTCGTTTGTTTTGTTGTGTTTTTTGCTACACCTTTTATTGATGCCTGCTCAAAACTGTGGCTTAGGATATTGAAATATAGTTGAAGTGACTGTGGTCATTTACTACGGTACGCCTATCTACTTACAACACCAGTCAACCAATTGTTTTGTCTAAAGTGAAAATTAATTAATTAGTATCCAGCTACCATTCATCAGTGCTGCGCGCTCGGATGCACAATGTCCTGGGCACATGCAACGCGAATTCAGGCGGCGGCTGCAGTACCACTAATATCGGTTGTTTCCCATTTTAACCTATCGGCCCATTAAATTGGTGGATCGTGCTCTCCCGACCGCTATGCGCTTGATGAGTCAACAACTTTGGAGTTGTTTCTTTCGTCCTAGACTGTGATGTCCATTGGAACCGATCTTCGCGTTGCCGAAATCAGATCGTTATCCAGAGCTTTGTTCATCTTGTAGCACTCCGAAAACCAACAGCTTCCATCGGCACTTCATTGCTCCATCCAACTTGCACTACATTTACATGGGCGTTCTGGTTTTTCGTCGTTTTACACCCTGTCAGTAAACACCTGTTAGTATTTTCAATCTTATTGATCTATCGCGATCATATCAGAAGTTAACGTGTTGCGAGACTGGACCTTAACGTGGTGCGACGGTTTGCGTACCTCATTGACTCATTGAGCTATACTGGGTGATGCCTCCGAGCATCTTGAGATCTACTTCTACCACGTTGATCAATGGTGAGAGGTCAGACAAACTCAGTCTCCTGGTCCTCCAGGTTGGGGGTTTGAAATGGGATGGCGTCCATTTCTGTAAAACTGAATCACTGCCACCCCGCTGCCTTGCGGACAGGCTTTTGAGCCGAAGGCTTTGGTTGAGGACCCTAATCGTCCTCTTGTCTAGGTCTGGGCGCCCTGGTAGTATCTCAGCCCACATACAACCATGACATTTTTCTTTAAACATAAACTTCATCCTGCATCGGCCGTCGCGCAGATTATCAAGGCTCGCCTTATCTACTGCATACAGCAGGGCGGATAAGCGAAAACATGCTACTGCTGGCGCCTCCCTTCTTTCTTTTCCACCTTTTTCTCTTACTCCCATCCCGGCCCCGATTACTAACCTTCCTTCTATAATTCCCAGCTTAATTGACAGCAACCAAGGTGCCACTGGAGTAGAACCATCTGCAGCCACCATCCCACAGCACCTATCGGACGCCTATCGGCAAAAGTCCCATATAAGGCCACGCTGTCCCGTTTCCATGGCGACATTCAATGTCCGCACTCTAAGACAAACAGGTCAGCAGACTGCACTCGCACGCACCTTGGACACAATGGGTGTTGATGTGTGTTGTGTGTCCGAAACTAGGATTAATGACCCTAACGGGGTTATTGAATTGACTGCACCCGGCTTATCCTCTCGTTATTGGTTACACGCATCCGGAGACGCCGATGACGCACTCCCGGGTCAAGCTGGTGTAGGTATCATTCTAAGCTTCAAGGCTGAGTCATCGTTGGTTGATTGGATCGCTGTGAACAGCCGTTTATGTGCAGCCCGTTTGACGACATCAGCTAAGGTGACTTCGCGAAGTAAAACAAAACGCTATTTGTTTGTGTATTCCGCGTATGCTCCCACCGACTGCAGTTCTAATGCAGTCAAGGACACATTCTATCACGAACTGAACGCGCTACTACGCAGTGCTACTATTTCACGCGCGACTGGTGGTTGTTGCGTGGTAGTGAAGCGTCAGCACGGCCTACTGACGTTCTAATGGTGCACTGATTTCCCGCACAGATGTTCATATCATGTCACTGAACTCCACGGGAATTTGGACTCAACCACACTGCCATTGTCTACAAATGGTACATATCAGGTCAAGACGTTTAGTCAGTTTTGGTTACCTGCCCGAATTCCGATTATACCATAGTGTGCGCATGTATGACGTTCTAACAAATTTCCAAACTTCTCATCTGCAACCTGGATTCACAGCCCACAATTTGGAAATATCACGATGGGCTAGCCGACCAGCCGTCAATGCCGAACGATGTTGGTGGGTCAAATACTTGCTGGAATCTTTTAAGTGTGCCATGAAAAATGCACTTGAATTCTGCTGTACTTCAGAACTGCAAATGGATTTTTGAAGTGTCGATCAGTTTGACTGAAGCATATAAACAGGTTCCGTTTTGTGTTTAGTTTCAGCGTACCCGTTGCATACTGAAATAACAATTGACTAGAAGTTTTAAAGTTGATCGGAAGCATTGACGAGTTCTAGGTGATCATGGGACGGAGAAGATCAATGCCAATATGAACAACCGGGTACTGTTTCGGCCCATTCGGGGCACTATTCTGAGAAATCTAATTAGTGAGACGATAGCTGTGGGAGATTAGTAGTTACTTTATTTCTGGGCAGTACTAATTTATCCATTGGGTGGAGCACCTTGAAGAGCATTTCGGCATGCTGTCACGTCTCCCTCCTAATGTTAGGTATGTCGGCTCTTAGCTAAGTAAGTGGAAGGCAGTGTGCGAAAAGTAGACACTATACTAAACATCTGACGTGATACAAGTTACTAAGATTGAAGATCGGTTTGTGTGTGCGTGTATACATGCATGTCTGCTTACCCATCTTTGTGTAAAGGATCAGTCAGAGTAAAAGAAGCCTACTCATCGATCATTAGGTCGACAGGTGACATCTTTCATCGCCGTGGCTAGCGTCAGTCCGCGTTGAAAACATTCGTTTGGTTTGCGCATGCTACTCGACCGCTGACGTAGGGTTTCACTTGTAGGTGTAGCTTCTTCGTCCACTTCTATTTGTTCTGTATCAGAATGCGGGTCAGATCGCACTTCGGCTAGTGTGTCAGGGCCTCGGGTGCGCATGTGATCCCAGGGTCGGCGGACGAATCGCCCGTCCAGAAGCTGTAGGTCATTTTAACTCCCTGCCGAAGCGACTACGATTGCCGGCTGTCCTGAATGTAACTTCCTTCTTTGACTCCTCTAAGGACACCGATTTCTTCTGTCGCTCTTTTACTTTAGCACGCGGGTTAGGGAACAACAAGTAAAGCCTATACGTAAGATTTCTTCCGAACATCAATTCCGCCGCGGATTTACCGTTAATCTCAGTGGGCATAGAAGGCGATCCAGTTTTGTTTGTATGGTTCTTGTTTTCTGCATTTGTAAGCCTTGTTTTACAGTTTGTACGACACGTTCTGCTAACCCATTTGATGCTGAGTAATACGCGGCCGATTTCCTATGCTAGATTCAGTTATTGATGGCAAATTTATTGAATTTAGCACTGATAAGAGGTGAACCGTTGTCTGTGCGTAAAATTTACCATTTTCAAAAGAGGCTGTCGTTCAGAATGCAACAGTCATAGTGGGATAAGTCTAATCTAAATTGTCTTTAAGTTACCTCTGTCTTCCTCCTTAGTCTGACTTTCACCCGTGAAAGTCAGATGCGCGAAGAGCATGCCGAGTTTCATCGAAATCGAAGCTGTATTGACCACCTCTTCGCATTACTTCAATTGTTGGAGCACCGCCATGTTTATTGGCGTAGTCGTGTTTCTAGGCACCAAAGGTGCATTTGTTTCGGTCGATGGATGTGCTCTTTGGGACTATCTAATGACGAATGGTCTGCCCGATAAATATTTGAATGTCACAAAAGAGCAGTACGCGCGTAATTCGTACAGAATGAGGTTTTACTGCAAACTTTCCCTTCCCTTCAATATCTCCAGCAGTATGAAACAAGGTTGTCCGCTGTCACCCTTCCTCTTAATCTCCATCAATGACAAAGTCACGGAAACAGCGTTCGCTGGACACGACCTACAAGTTGTGGAACGGCTTCCTGGTAAACGACTTCTTGACATAGATTATACCGACGGCATCGCGCTCATCTCTGGCAGCTGCTGAGAGTGCCAAGTTGCATTGGATAATTTAGCTCTGGCTGTCAGTCGCTTCGGCCTATGCTTTGCACCCTCGAAATGCAAAGCCGTTTTCCAAGATTGATAGGGACCCACTTTTGCACTGATCCATGGTGGAGCTCAGCTCGAACTGGTCGTGAAGTTCAAGTATCTCAGCAGCTGTATTAGCGCCTTCGGGATTAAGAGGATCACGAACCTTGTAACGAAACCTCTGGGTGCTTTTGCCATTCACCGTCACATGTGGCGCTGACATGACATCACTCTGGCTCTGAAACGCTTAATTTATAATCCAGCCATTCATGCAACCCTCTTGTACGGTTGCGAAACTTGGTCCGTTAGATCAGCCTATATAAAGAGGCTAGTTACGTTCGACCATCGCTACCTTCGCAACTTAGCTCATGTCTGGTAGGAAAACCGCGTGAGTAATGTGCGTGTTCGGCGCCGCGTATTTGGTGCAGAAAGTGCGAGTGAACCGCTCAGCACCGTTATATCACGCATGAGACTCCGATGGCTGAGCCATCCTGACTGCCTGGCTGGGGTCCTAAGAACGGTGAACACGTTTGGTTGGACACACTTGCTGATATGTCTGGGAGCCGTCCCCAATGGTGTTTTGTGTTGTGAGTTCCTTAGTCCATCCCCCTCCTGCTTAGCATCCCCCTCCAATCACGATCTCACTTGTTAGGCATAATATGACTCTCTTTTACGGCAGCCAGCTGTTAGCTCTCCGGAACGATGTCCATTCGTTACTGGGGACTTAGCGGGCGTGCTACCGTTTGTTTTCCTTTTCTTGTCTTTGTATTGCGGCACAATACCTGAGGTGTTTTCCGCCTCCAGCTAACGTGTAATGATGATGCTGATGAGCCATGTATTGTGCATGCCAGCACACTGACTCCCGCGATCTGCGTCGTTTGCGCGGCGGGAATTTGGATGGAATAATAGGAGGGGAAGCCAAGCTCAGATATGGT